CCCCTCTGATTCCCTCACCTTTGCACCTTTCACCCACTAGTGGCCCCACCCACCAACTCCTCCTCCACCCTCGCAGTGCTTCTAGAGCTCCATGAACAGCTGATTCACAGCATTCAGGAAGCTTCAGGAGGGAGGGGGAGAAGAGAGGATGGGACACGCTCAGGGGAGGAGGTGGAGATGAGGTGGGACAGAGGTAGAGGCTTGGGGTGTATCTAGACTACACCTCTCTGTCGACAGAGAGATGTAGATTAGGCATATCGAAATTGCTAATGAAGCAGGGATTTAAATATCCCGTGCTTCATTTGCATAAACATGGCTGCCACTTTTTTCCGAAACTGAGTTTTTTTAAGTGGTCAAATATTGGAATAAATTGCCAAGGGAGGTGGTGGAATCTCCCTCTCTGGAGATATTTAAGAACAGGTTAGATAGACATCTGTCAGGGATGGTGTAGACGGAGCTTGATCCTGCCTTGAGGGCGGGGGGCTGGACTCGATGACCTCTCGAGGTCCCTTCCAGTCCTATTATTCTATGATTCTATGATTCTATGATCTGTCGAAAACAAACCCTTTTCGACAGATCCTGTAAACACCTCATTTTTTGAGGAATACAGGATCTGTCGAAAAGGGTTTGTTTTCGACAGATCCGTGTCTTGACTGCCGTTTTTTTTAAAAAAAACTCCATTTTGAAAAAAAGCAGTGGCCATGTTTATGCTAATGAAGCACAGGATATTTAAATCCCTGCTTCATTAGCAGTTTTGATGTGCTTGATTTGCATCCCTCTGTTGACAGAGGGATGCAGTCTAGATGTAGCCTTGGAGGAAGAGTGGAAGGGGGCAGGGTGGGGGCACGGCTTGGGAGGAAGGGCTGGAATGGAGGGAGGGCAGAGGTGGGGAGAAGGATTGAGCACCCCTCAGCTAAAAGGGAAATTGGCACCTATGTCTTCTCCTCATGGTTCCTTTGCTGAGAAGATTTGCCTTACATTAAGCTCAGTAAATCCAAAACTTAAAATTAACTCGACCTAAATTTTACACTCTGTCAAAGAGGGACTGACCCAGGATGTTCCCCACTACATATCGGTACCCACTCCAAATTCCCCATTCCCCTCTTTCCCACTGCAAATTCATCATGGACTCTTACTAGCTCTGATAAATGGGCTATTTTTTTAATAGCTAAGCACATTTTTAGCTATATTTATCCAGACAAAAAAACAGTCCATTTTACATGGGAAGAAGATGTTGAGTATCAGGAGTATTAGAGTGTGTATACTCTGCACCCTTGGCTCGAAATAAGCTATGCAATTTGAGCTATGCAAATTGCGTAGCTTATTTTGAGTCAATTTCTAAATAGCTTATTTCATAATTTGGCGCTGTCTACACAGTGCCAAATTTCAAAATAAACCACTATTCCAAAATGTCCCTTAATCCTCCTGGAACAAGGTTTACAGAGACGTCGGACTAGCGAGCCAGTTATATTTCAAAATAACAGGCTTGTTTCAAAGATGTAGAACAGATATTTCAGGATACTGGAAGTATCCCGAAATAGCGCCACAATGTAGACGTATCCCTAGAGATCTGCCTGGGAAGGAAGCATGTCCACTAGAAAGCTCTGCTTTGAGAGTAGCAGAGTGGATAGTGATTGTGACCCAGGTATACAGATTACACTCCAGCAGTCAGCCTCTCAGTACCACTGATTTCACATGGGAAGAAATCCCTCATTCAGTTACCAAACTGAAAGCAAGCTTAAAGCTGTGGGTAGGGCTTTCTAACCTCTCTCCAGGACACCTGGTACACCACTCTGTTCACAGGCTACTCAAATTCATAGCAATGATAAAGGAGAAACAAACACTAAACAGCTCCATAATTTTTCTTTGTACGCTCACTTTTTAGTTAGTTTATCCCAGGGATTAATGGCATTATCTTTCAGGTTATTTAACCTGAAAGAAGAGAGTATCAGCCAGGAAACAAACCACCAGGTGCAGGTGTGTGAGAGACAAACAAAATCTAATGTGGCTGCCACAAACAACAGGATGTCATATTCCCTGTTAGACCATAAACCATACAGGATCTCATAATGCTATATAACTGTTGTAAGGAGATTACCTTACACTGTAAATTTGAACAAGGAAACAAAACCAAAATTATTGCTGCTTGAGTGTCTTCTATTCTTTGCTTGTTTGCTTGTGAACAAACTGTTCCAAGATTGACATTTCTAGGAGTAAAAATATTGAGTCAGAGTCCCAAAAATAAATATTGACTTAAATATCAAAGATATTTTAACTGGGGGAGGGTGGCTCCTGAGTTCAACTATTTTTCCCCTGAATCTCTGTGTGACCATTTTAATCTGAAACAACTCTATCATACAGCCCTCCCCACCCAGATAGGGGCTAGATTTGATCCTCTGCCAGCTGCTATCAGCTGCTGAGATGGGGAAGTTGTAATTCTATTCCTCTCCATTCCTTTTTCCTGCCCCTATCTTGCTCCCTCCAGATCACCCCAGCCCGTCCAGTCACAGTCTCTTGCCCACACCTTCTTTTCCCTCTCCTCTCAGTCTTTTGTATCCATCTCGCTCTCTTGTTCTGTCCTTCCCCCCATTTTCATAGAATCATAGAATACTGCTCTCTGATAGCTGAATTTCAACTCTTTCTACTTACTGGTTTTATACTGCAGCCCATAACCATAGTACCTGAGTGTCTTCCACACAAAATCAGTGGTAATAGTGAAGTCCCTACTGGATTTCATGGATTCTTGGGACTTCTTTTAGGCGGTAAAAGCTCTGGGTTTTGTCTTAGATTTCTTAAGCTTTTTTGTCTTAGATTTCTTAAGCTTTAATGTGTAGTAGATGCTATCAGTGTTGTATGATAGAAAGGCTTATTCAAAGAGTATGTAATTGCATCATTTCTTAAAGACAGGCAGACTCTGGATTCACCTTACCTCTAGAAATCTGTTTCACAACCAGATCCCCTTGACAGAGGCTGTGCCTCCCCAAACAGCCAAGCATGGTCTGGCCCCCACCCCAAACCCCATCCAACCCACACTTCTGCTCCTGACTGCCTCCATGGAGTACTCACCCCCATCCTATACCTCTGCTCCCCACCCTTCATTAAACAACCCAAGTTTCCTGTGCCCTGGCAACCCCGCTGGGACCCCTGCCCATCCAACCCCTCACACCCTGTCCCCTGACCAGCTCCCAAGACCTCTGCTCCTATCCAACACCTCCTACTCCCCACCCCAACTGCCCCCTGGAACCTGCCTGCTGTCTGCCCCGACAGCACCATCCAGAGCATGGGAGCTGGTGAAGCTACAGCTGTGCCACCTGACTGGAGCTGCAGACATGCTGCCCATTAGACCTGTAGTTCGGCCAGAACTGTGGACATGCAACCAGGATGGAGCTGTAGATACACCAGCTGGAATATTGGGGTGGGCAGTGTGGTGAGCACACTGCCCAGGCGCTAGAGGAGCTGAGGTTGCAGGGAAGGGGTGATAGAAGGGGAAGGGCCAGGAGCTAGCATTCCTGAAGCTCAGGGGCTGGACCAAAGGATCTTGCAGGCCAGATATAGCACATGGGCTGTAGTTTACCCTCTTCAAGCTAGTAATCCATGCTGCAGACCAAGGTGGAAAAATCCCAGGGTCTCTTGCAATCTGACCTGGGGGAAAATTCCTTCCTAACCCAAAAAAGGGCAGTCAAGAAGGTATTGCTGTATTTCTGGCACTTATTTACCCATTTACCTGGCCCATCTGTAAATCAAGGTAATAATGGTGGAATTGGCACTGCCAGCAAGACCATAACTTCTCTAATATGGTGGAGAAAAGTCACCTAAGTTAGATGAGGCATTCTTCTCCGTATGATAAAAATCTGTGTGAAGAAGGTTTCAGGAGGAGCAGTAGTAGGAGGAACCTCTACTACCATTATTCCAAAAGATAAGTGTTGGCTCTAAAATGTTCCTGTATTAAATAACTCCTCAGTTGAAAAATCAGCATTTCTGCTGTGTGGGGCAAGAAAGGACTTAAAAGATTCCTTCCAACTATTTAATGCCCCAATACAACCTGTTGAATGACTATTTGACAAAATCTAATGGTATTGAAAATGTTCTCATGATGTTACTATACATGACTGAAAGCAATTACTTGTTTAAACTTTTAAATATACATTTGGATTAAAATATTGCACATCATGCTACTGACTGACAATCAGAATTTGTCTAGAAATAAAATTGACTAGAAACAGCCTTTAAACAAAAATTAGTGGCCATGGAATCAGTTCTCCTTGTCCAAAATGAATAAAGTGCAAAAAGTAAACAGGCAGTTTACAATAAGTGGTGAAAATTAAAGATACTTTTTAAAAAATCACTCCATATTAACTTTGGTGCTATGGTAACACACATAAAAAGACTTATTTTCCCTTTAAGCTATTATATGTACAGATTGGCTACGTCTAGACTGGCATGATTTTCTACAAATACTTTTAACAGAAAAGATTTCCGTTAAAAGCATTTGTGGAAAAGAGTGTCTAGATTGGCACGGACGCTTTTCTGCAAAAGCACTTTTTGCGGGAAAGCGTCCGTGCCAATCTAGATGCGCTTTTCCGCAAAAAAGCTCCGATCACCATTTTTGCAATCGGGGCTTTTTTGCACAAAACAAATCTGAGCTGTCTACACTGGCCCTTTTGCGCAACAGCTTTGCGCAAAAGGACTTTTGCCCGAATGGGAGAAGCATAGTATTTCTGCAAGAAGCACTGATTTCAGACAGTAGGAAGTCAGTGTTCTTGCGGAAATTCAAGCGGCCAGTGTAGACAGCTGGCAAGTTTTTCCGCAAAAGCAAGTACTTTTGCAGAAAAACTTGCCAGTCTAGACACAGCCATTAGGTTAAATATCAGGGAATTTTTTAAAATTTTGGTACAGATTACCCTCACTGGAACTTTTTCTCTTTTAATAATCTCAGGTGTTAATAGTGTCATAGGTGAGTAAACATTTTTTTCATTATGATTAACAACATATCTCCCAGATATTAAAAAGGGGTATACATTGCAAAGCAAAGAAACTCTCTAGCCATTGGCTGTTGCTATGTCACCTCCTCTTCTTATTCCTGCATTTACAGATGACTTTTTAAGGTGTGCACAATTTCCCACACTATTTCTTTGTTGACAGCACGTATACTAAGGAAGGTGTGTATAGGATTAGAAATAGAACAGCCCCCAGACAGCATATACTTTTCATCCTGGAACTGCAACATCAGGGACAGGAAGCATTCACATGTGTGAAATTCTCCAGCTTCAAGTTTCTCGCAGTTTTGTAGTTCCAAGCTCAGCACCTTTACTCATGTCATTTCCCCAGACGGAGCAAAGAAACTAGAAGTGGAAGGAAGCAAGGAACAAACAAAATCCAGAAAACCCCTCATCGGTCTGTTTTGTGAGTACTGGATTGCAGCAGACATGCCATTTCTAATCATGCTGTTCTTTGGGAGGACTGTGACAAGCAGAAACAATGAGCCAATTTCAACTCCAGGTTTCTCAGAAATGTCCAGCTGTGATGCCATTGCATTGCACTGAAAAGGGTGACTGAGGTGATGCATTTTACAGGTCACAGTAACATTATTCCAGAAGATAAAAGTGCAGAATTGGAAGAATTACAAAGGACCGATGTGACTTAGTTTTCAGTAGCATGAGTAGGAGCACTGACATATTTACAAAGCTTTTTCACTTGTTTTCTTTAGTAAAGAAGGACCTTGTCCTGTGAGGTGTCTTCAACTGACTTCAGCAGAAACTAGGTACTTAAATCCTCTCAGGATTATGCTCCAAATTGTTAATGGAGTTTGTAATTTGCAAGTGCCTGTCCTTCATAGGTCACTGATTTACGTTAAGGAATACATGTAAATACAAAGCTGAAAATGTTCAAACATGGGTACCTAAAGCTAGAATTTTAAACTCTTTTGGCATCTAAGTAAATGGCATGACTTTCAAAGATGCTGTTATTTAAACCAATGGGAACTGCAAAGTACTTAGCACCTTTGAAAATTAGACTGCAGTTTACGCTCCCTAAATATTGATCTAGCTATTCCTAACTTTGAGCAATTGAGTCAGAAAATTGTGGACACTTCTATCATATTAAATGCACTGAATTCCTGCCTGAGATTAGAATAGTAAATTCATATACAGGCACTTCTTTACAGCACACCTGTTTACAGGTAACCTGTTTCTTCTTCATGCAGTACATAATGGCTGGGGACAAGGTCAAAGATCTGAGCTTAACGTTCTCCATGACACATTCTGAAACAGATGAAGTGGGCGGAATTCTCCTTCCAAAAATAGTGTGTGACCGGTGGGATCAAATTTGGAACTTCAAAGCCAGACCTGACGATCTGCTCATCGCAACCTATGCAAAAGCAGGTATGTGGGAATGGAGGAAAGTGGAAATGGATTGAGGCAGAACTATCTGCTTGCACTGAAACTCTTACTTTGCAATAAGTTTATCAAGACTTGTGACTGAGATTTGTGTAATCACTAGCATCAGCCTTTAATTGGACCACCAGCTGAAGGCTGAGTCTAGTGACTTCTAGCTTCCGTGGCAGAAAAAAAACCTAACTAACCACCTACACAATGTAAATAGTCTAACACCATACGATTAAATCAGTAGTTTAATTTAGTTTATGTAAAAGTACAGTCAGTAACACACAATTAGTATTAATTTAACAAAATCCTAATTAAAATAAATATTCAATTTATAATGAAGCAAAGGGAATTGGTAGAACTTAAGGCTGGTAGATTTTGGCAGGAGGGTTGGGTTTTTCTGTTAGTGACTCAGGTATGAAACATTCCTGATTTCTTCAAGTTCATTAGTTAGGACTCCTTTATGCTGAAAATTTACATTGGCATAGCTACATCTCTCAGAGGTATTTGAAAACCATGCCCTTGAGAGATGTAACTCTGCCATCCTAACCTCTGGTGTTGACAGTACTAGATCAACAAAGAATTATTCCATTGATGTAGCTAATATCTCATGGGGAGGTGAATTAACTACAGCAGTGGAAGAACCTTTTGTGTCACTGTAGTATCTACGCTGAAGAGCTACAGTGGGGTATTTTAGGGCTACACTGTAATATTTTAAGTGTAGACATAGCTTAAATTTGCCAAGAGGTTTGGATGAATCTTCAACCTACAGGTTGTTCAGTCTGTCTTCTCTAGCTAGTATTTATTTTCGGTCAGCCAGATTCAATTTAAAGTCAAATTGACTCAAAACAATTTTTTTCAATTCAGGAATACTGAACATTTTTGTTATTCCAAATTGAAAATTTTCAGAGCTTTTCCTCTATTAGAAGCTTTGGTTTTTCACTTTTTGTCCAAGTTCAGGATGAAAAAACCTGTCAAAATTTCGGAATTTCCCACAGGATGGAAATTATGACTTTAACTCAACTCTACAAATAAACAATCCCAATTGAACTCAATGTTTTTATTCATTAATTTATCTATTTAACCATTTCTACCAGGCAAAAGAACACAGTCCTGAATGTAATCTCAGAGCCTTTTCCTCAAGAAGTACTAAAAGCTTTAATTTCCCTTCCTGCCATTGCATTTTCTCTCTGATTCATTTTCTGACCCTCATGCCTATCATCACCTTGTAGCAACAGCTTTGTGACTTCCCCAGTCTTCCTTGAATGTGGTCACTACCCAACCAGTGTTTTTAACAAGCTTCCATTTCTGTTTTAGAAATGTGCTTTTCAACCACATTTGGGGGAAATTTGTAAAATTCTAGTATTTTCAGGTACAACCTGGATACAAGAGATTGTGGATATGATCCAACATGATGGAGACACTGAAAAATGTAAACGTGCCACCACTTATTTGCGACACCCTTTCATTGAGTGGGTTCTGCCTGCACCTTTCAGCTCTGATACAAATGGTAAGTGTAACAAAAACAGGACACGATTTTTGTCCAAAATTATGGAATAAAGTTTTGTTTACTGAATAATGGAAAATGTTATCCATTGTATCCATTGTAATGCCAATTTTCCAAGAAATCTCCATTCCATTTGTCATGCTATCTGGAGAGATCTCTACACAGATCGTATGATTGTTCAGGTTTATTAGCAGGAGCTCTTCAACAAGGTTTTCCATTGCCAGGAGTCCTCAAGTCAATCCTCCCTAGTATACAGTCAAAGAAATTCTCTCAGACTGGGAATTAGCAGCTGTACTTCTTCTCACCTCCCCCACACATGAATGTCAGGGCATAGAGGGATAACAGGACACCTGTTTTGGGGGGAAAGAAGAGAGGTCAAAGAGGAAGGACTGAGAAAGAAGGCAGGGGAGGAGAGAAGAGATGAAGACAAAAGTGTAGAAATTAATGTAAGAACAGAAAACTTACATTAGGAGAGTACAGTGATGAGAGAAATGGAAGAATTTTTGTTAAATATGCGACTCTGAAGTTTAGGATTGAAAATACTGTCATTGAGTTGGGACTAGGAGAAAATAGTGAAAATAAATACTGTTTTCTTCCAACACATTATTTCCTGTAAAATACTCATTTTATTCAAAGGGAATAGAGCAACGAGACAGAACTCTCACATGCACACATCCTGAATCCTCATTTAAAAATAAAAACCCTCACTGCCTCCCATTCAAACTGTCAAAGGGAAAAACTAAGACAATCAGGTCACCCTATCTAAAATGAAATAATCTTCTACAAGTAAAATGGAAATTCACTGACTACTGTAATGGGAAAAGGCCCATCAGGGAAGATGAGTCAATGTTCACCATTGCCCCAGGGGATTCAGATGGTATCCCAAGAAAGCTAGAAAAAAAGAAACTTAATGTGAATTAGCATTCACTATTCTTCCTCAAGAATGTAGGGAACTCTCAAGGATACTGATGGATGAGCCAAGTTGTTACACAGTGCTTCTCTGGAGGGGTTGCAGTAAGGTAGAATTGGATATGTAACTGATACAAACTAGCATTTCCTAGAAAATCAAATCAAAATCCCAGACATGATGGTGACAAAGTAGAGAAGCTTAGATACAAGGACACTGAATTCCTACAAAATGTTTTGCAGGCCTGGAATTAGCAGAATTGATGCCCTCCCCAAGAACACTAAAAACTCATCTCCCTGTACAACTGGTGCCTCCTTCCTTCTGGGAGCAAAAGTGTAAGGTAACGAGGGGAAAGTGGGGCACAAATCTACTTTATTTGGCTATGAATTGAAAACTCAGTAGGATTGCGGCTGAAATCTAGAGGCCCATCTTCCCTGTAATATAGTTTCTGTATGAGAGTGAAGGAATTTAATTCAACAACAAATTGATTTTAGAAAATGGTATCTTCTATATATAAAACCCTTATGGCTTCAATGATCATCTTTTGAGCGAGAACACAACAGGATCCCTCTGTACATGTCTACATCTATAAAGTGAAATAAACATAGTTATTTCTCTCTCTTGATTTCACATCCAATCTAGATAATCTATGTGGCAAGAAATGCCAAAGACAACCTGGTGTCATACTACCATTTCCACAGGATGAATAAAAATATGCCTGAGCCAGGAACCTGGGAGGAGTTTTTAGAGAAATTCATGGCTGGACAAGGTAAATAGAACCATTTGTGCAACATCCTGTTCATATAATTTACGCTATTTATTTATGTTATTTGTTTGTGAGGTTGTTTCTTTCAAGCCTCTATCCATTGTTCTGAACCCAACACTGATGATGTACTACAAAGAAATGTACTCCAAACATTCCAGAAGGAACTCTGTTCTATCCTGGTGTCTTTTACTAACACTCAGATGTTTCCTTTCTTCATATTCTCACTCCAGGGAGCTCCTCCCTCTCCTATTCCCCTCCATGCTCATCAACACCCATAAATTCCTGTTTAAAATTTTAGATATCCTTTTACTAATATTTTATAATTAAAGTCATTTTGCTCAGCAGTCAGACAGAGAGGAAGGCTGGCCAAGTACATAGGGTGTTAGTCTGAGCTCTGTGCAGCCTTAGTCTGTAACCTTGGCCAGGTCACTGCACAGCAAGCAAAAGTGTGAATCTCACTACAGCAGCTTGTCATGCAGTAACATCCCATGTAAATGTGCCGTTGTTACAGCACTCCAGAGGTCCCAGAGTGCAGCCTCACTTATGACTACAAGTGCCTACAAAGGACATTATTATGTGGCAAGCTGGTGCACAATAAGTTGACATCCCGGCTTGATGTGCCGTACCTTGTAGTGTTGATAAGTGCTTAATGACTTCTTTGTTTTGGTCTTCTGATGAAGGAATGCCTAACATAGTGAATGCTAGTGGAAATGGAGTAGGTTTGGAAGTTAAAATAAAAAAAGAACAAGTTAAAAATTACTTAGAAAAGTTAGATGTCTTCAAGTCACCATGGCCTGATGAAATGCATCCTAGAATACCCAAGGAGCTGACAAAAAAAAGTATCTGAGCCGTTAGCTATCATCTTTGAAAAATCATGGAAGTCGGGAGAGAATCCAGAAGACCGGAAAAGGGAACATATAGTGCCCATCTAAAAAAAGGAAAATAAGAACAACCCAGGAAACTACAGACCAGTCAGTTTAACTTCTGTGCCAGGAAAGATAATGCAGCGGATAATTAAGGAATTAATCTGCAAACATCTGGAAGAAAATAAGGTGATAGGTAACATCCAGCATGGATTTATAAAGAACAAATCATGTCAAACCAATCTGATAGTTATCTTTGATAGGATAACAAGGCTTGTAGATAAGAGAGAAGCAGTAGATGTGGTATACCTAGACTTTAGTAAAGCATTTGATATGGCCTCGCATGACCTTCTTATCAATAAACTAGGCATATACAACTTAGATGGAAGTATTATAAAATAGGTGCATACTGGCTGCATAACCATTCTCAGAGAGAAATTATTAATGGTTCACAATCCTGCTGGAAGGGCATAACAAGTGGAGTTTCACAGTGGTCTGTTTTGGGCCAGTTCTGTTCAATATCTTAATCAACAATTTAGATATTGGCACAGAGAGATTGCTTATTAATTTTGCAGATGATACCAGGTTGGGAGGGGTTGCAACTGTTTTGGAGGATAGGGTCATAATTCAAAATGATCTGGATAAACTGGAGAAATGGTCTGAGGTAAATAGGGTGAAGTTTAATAAGGGCAAATGCAAAATAGTCCACTTAGAAAGCAACAATCATTTTCACACATTCAGGATGGGAAGAGACTGTCTAGGAAGGAGTACTGCAGAAAGGGTATAGAGATCATAGTGGACCACAAATTAAACATTAGTAGACAGTTATGAAACTGTTTTAAAAAAAAGCAAACATGATTCTGGGATACATTAACAGGAGTGTTGTGAGCAAGACATGAGAAGTCATTCTTCCACTCTACTCTACCTGATTAGGCCTCAGTTAGTCTACATCTACACTGGCCCCTTCTCCGGAAGAGGCATGCTAATTTTGAACTTTGGAATAGGGAAATCCACGGGGGATTTAAATAAACGTGGCTGCCTACTTGCAAGTAGGAATAAGAGATCCTCCGGAAAAGGGCTTTATTCCGGAGGATCGCGCCAGTCTAGACGCTCTTTTCCGGCTTTTCCCCAAGCCGGAAAAAAAGTGGCAGGCATGTTTTTTTTAATTTTGCCTTATTCCGGAGGATCGCGCCAGTCTGGACGCTCTTTTCCAGCTTTTCCCCAAGCCGGAAAAAAAGCGGCGGCCACGTTTATTTAAATCCCGCGGGGGATATTTAAATCCCCCGCGGATTTCCCTATTCCAAAGTTCAAAATTAGCATGCCTCTTCCGGAGAAGGGGCCAGTGTAGACGTAGCCTTAGAGTATTGTGTCCAGTTCTGGGCACCATATTTCAAAAAAGATGTGGAGAAGTTGGAGAAGGTCCAGAGAAGAGCAACAAAAATGACAAAAGGTCTAGAAAACATGAGCTCTGAGGCAAGGTTGAAGGAATTCAGCTTGTTTAGTTTGGAAAAGAGAAGACTGAGAGGGGACATGATAGCAGTTTTCAGATATCTAAAAGGGTGTCACAGGGAAGGGGGGGGAAAAATTGTTCTCCTTGGTCTCTGAGGATAGGACAAGAAGCAATAGGTTTAAACTGCAGCACGGGAGGTTTAGGTTGGACATTAGTAAAAACTTCCTGTCAGGGTAGTTAAACACTGGAATAAATTGCCTAAGGAAGTTGTAGAATCTCCATCACTGGAGATATTTAAAAGCAGGTTGGACGGACATCTATCAGGGATGATATAGACCGTGCTTGGTCCTGCCATGGTGGCAGAGGACTGGACTTGATGATCTCTTGAGGTCCCTTCTAGTTCTAGTATACTATGATTCTAAGTCCTCAGTCTCTCTATATATCAGTGTATGTCTATATACCCCACCTCACACACACACATATACACACACTGGGTTTCAGAGCCTAAGTGGGAATGTCTACATGCGTATATTTAGCCCTTTGCGATGGGATGTCTGCCTCGCATTGGCCGTAATAAGGGTTAAACCTAACACTGATGATGTACTCTGGAGCAAGCCGCTGCCTCATATAACAGCCAATTAGAGCCCAGCTGTGGCTGCATAAATAGAGGCTCCTGGAGAGGAGAGAAACGGGACACTCTTGCTCAAGCTGTGGAGCAGGAGAGACCTGGCTGTCTGGGGATGCAGAGAGGGTACCTGAGTCAGAGCATTGCTGGGGAAAGGCAGGCAAAGCAGGAGAACTCTGGCCTGCCCCAACTCCCAGGCTGCAGGACAGATACAGAAGATCTGACAGGTACCAGGGCTGCAGGGAGGCAGCCAGAACAGCAGAAGGTGGCAGGTCCATCTCTTTGCCAATGAAGAGTGGCCATTTCAGACTGCAGTTTGCCCTGAGGCAGGGGCTACATCAGGGGTGGGCAATAATTTTTGATGGGGGGGCCACTCCAAGATTTTGGAAAGTGGTCGAGGGCTGCACTCTTCCATTATATTAATGAGGAGATGAGGGCTCTGGGATGGAGGTTGGGTGCAGAGGGGAGCTTGGGATAATGGACTGGAGTGCAGGAGGGAGACTGGAGTCTTGAAGGGAGCTTGGGCAAAGGAGGTGATTGTGACAAACTGGCCAATGTGATTGTGCTGGGGGTGGGGCAGCTCTTGAAACTTCCTCGCTCCCCTCCAGTTTTAAAATAGAAACAAAACCTGGGGCAGATGCATTTCAGTACGGTGCACTTGGCTGCAGGGCAAGCAGGGGAGCCTGCCTGGGCCTTCCCGCTTGGGGGGGCCAGATGTGGCCCATGGGCCATATTTTCCCCAGGCCTGGGCTAGATGATGACTGGCAGTCGGTCACTAAGGCAAGGCTGGAAGGGGAGGGTCCCAGAGAGTGGGAATATGCCGTAGGACTGGGCCAAAACCAGTCCAGGAGATAGAAAACTGAAGGCAAGATGCCAGCCAACAGAATATACTCCAAGTCTGAAGAGCTAATTCCCAAAGAAACCAGCAGTAGACACCACAGTGATGAATCACAACCTGTTACACCCTATAATCAAAAGCCAGAATCTGAGTATCCTGACTCTGCGAGTAAATGCCATGGGTTTTTGGTTTTCCTCCCCCACCTCAATGTAAAGGACGCCCCCTCCTCAGCTTCCCACCTATAAAATACCCCTACTAATCAGGGACTCTGAGGATACTGAGGATAAATACATTAAAGATTAAGTGTTCAGATATTCCAGTTATGGGGGCTATATAAGTAACTAGGATAGCTGGATAGACCAGACATTTCTACTTGCTGATTACTTCTTACTCTCCTTCTCTTTCAGTGCTTTGGGGGTGTTGGTATGATCATGTAAAAGGATGGTGGGAAGCTAAAGAGAACCACCGGATTCTCTACCTCTTCTATGAAGATCTAAAGGAGGTTAGGAGGTGACTCAAGGCTTATAGTGCTCTATTATTGCCATCCTTGCTTCCAACAGGTATGAGTTTCCCACAACAAAGTTAACACCAGGTGGGTCCCCATTTGATCTAATTTCTCCATCACCCACCCCACAGTGATAGGTAGCATGATTTTCACACTTCATCACCACCTTTTCCTGTATCTGATGTTTCCTCTTCCTGAGTTGGTTTCTTATCCAATTTTACTGTTTCCACAGGATCCAAAGCGAGAAATCCAAAAGGTGTTACAGTTCCTGGAGAAGGACTTGGAGAATGAGATTCTAGATAAAATTATCTACCACACCTCATTTGAGATAATGAAGGACAACCCCATGGCAAACTACACTTTTCAACCTCCAGCAGTAATGGACCATTCAATCTCCCCATTCATGAGAAAAGGTGCTTGTAGCAGTGTGACTTGGTTTCACTTTGCAGACATGCTGCCCCTTTAATACCCTCTTGCAGGCCCCTTAAGAACTGCATATAGGCTTTCCTGTGGATAACATCTCCCCACCACCACAACCTGTGACTGCTTTAATAACAAAATCAGTTCCTAACAATCCTTCCTGTCAAAAAATAAAGTCCATTATGAACCAACAGTCAGTACTTAGCTCTGGTGTCTTATCTCACAGTCATAGCTTGTTCTAAAAACAAAACAAAACCTCCAAAATCCAACAACCCACCCCCAAAACAAACAAAAAACAAAACAAACCCAAACAGCAGCACTATAACAGGTGAGCTACAACCTTACAATAGAATGATCAATACCTGTGAGAAATCATGCTCAATCATGCTCAATGACTGCTCAATCATGCTCAATGACTGCTCTACAATCATTGAGAAGCCTGGGAAAATTATAGAGACTGTACGGGGGGTAAAGGGCTTCTGCAGGGAAGACTCTGAGTCTAAGGAGCTGGAAACGTCTTTGGAGAAATCCAGACAGAATTTGGACCTAGAAATTTTTGCAGCCCTACAAGCCAGCGGCCAGAGGACTAAGCTCCAGCAAGGAAGAGCTGGGAGAAGGAACTGGGGGTATGTCTATACTACCCCGCTAGTTCGAACTAGCGGGGTAGTATAGACATACCCCCAGTTCCTTCTCCCAGCTCTTCCTTGCTGGAGCTTAGTCCTCTGGCCGCTGGCTTGTAGGGCTGCAAAAATTTCTAGGTCCAAATTCTGTCTGGATTTCTCCAAAGACGTTTCCAGCTCCTTAGACTCAGAGTCTTCCCTGCAGAAGCCCTTTACCCCCCGTACAGTCTCTATAATTTTCCCAGGCTTCTCAATGATTGTAGAGCAGTCATTGAGCATGATTGAGCAGTCATTGAGCATGATTGAGCATGATTTCTCACAGGTATTGATCATTCTATTGTAAGGTTGTAGCTCACCTGTTATAGTGCTGCTGTTTGGGTTTGTTTTGTTTTTTGTTTGTTTTGGGGGTGGGTTGTTGGATTTTGGAGGTTTTGTTTTGTTTTTAGAATTGTCTCATCTTCCTCCCAGTTTGTTTTGAATTAACTCTTCATTTCAATCGTTTGTGTTAGTGATAATGGATTTCAGGACTTGGGATAAAGTGGACGTATTCCTTCTAATGGTGACTATCTCTTTGCTTTTGCTGTATTATAGGGACTGTTGGGGACTGGAAGAACCATTTCACAATAGCACAGAATGTGAAATTTGATGAAGATTATAGGAAGAAAATGGCTAGAACCTCTCTGACTTTCCGTATGGAGCTCTGAGAAGGGGCCATAGATTATTCTCTCTGATCAACTCCTCTTCCTCTGTGCAGACCTAACTTTGAGATAAATAGATAAGATAAACTAGCGCCAAGCAGCAATATATGATAGAGAATTTGCAGAAGCCCCTCAAAATCCATCTCCAAATTGAATGGAGCCAGGGTAGGGTGATTTCGCTGATGGAATTTATCCCCCTATGCTTTCCTAGGCTTTTTCTTCATGTTCATAAAAATGCTTCTGAAGAACAGGGTTGTGGAGTTTGTTTATTTATAACATTTGTAAAATTTTAGATAATATCTAATTGTGACAGCTTGGACCCCTTGGGAGGTCATCTGATATGCTGAGTTGCCACTGAGTCCGCTTATTCTGCCAGCCTGAGGCTCCTTTACTGTGTCATTTTGGGCCAAGCTCACAAGCCCTTGGCCCTACCCCAGAGCTCTCACCCTGCACTCCAACTCCATGTCTCAGCCTAATGCCCCTTCCCATTCCCTGAACCCCTCATCCCCAGCCACACCCTAGAGCCCTCATCCCCTTCCACCTCTCAATCCTCTGCCTCAACCCACAGCCTCCACACACATTTGAATCCCTTGACCCCATCCCCCAGTCTGGACCCTCCCAAAACCCTCATCTCCAGTCTGATCCCTTAGTCTGCACCCCCAGAGCTCTTTCCCCCTCACAATTTCAATTACAGCACAGAACAGGAAGTGTGCAGGGCTCACTTTATATTTAGTTTGATTGCAAATATTTGTGCTGTAAAAAAAAGAAAAAATATTTTTCAATTCACCTCATACAAGTATTGTAGTACAACCTCTTTATCATGAAAGTTGAGCTTTCAAATGTAGACTTATGCATAAAAAACTGTTTTCAAAAGTAAAACAATGTACCTCTTTAGAGCCTACATGTCCACTCAGTCCTACTTCTTGTTCACTCGATTGGTCAAACAAGTTTGATTATAATTTGCAGAAAATAATGCTGCCCGCTCATTTACAATGTCACATTAAAGTGAGAACAGGTGTTAGCATGGCACTATTGTAGCTTACGTCAGAAGATATTTACCTGCCAGATTGGCTAAAGATTCATATGTCCCTTCATGTTTCAACTACCATTTGAGAAGAAATGCTGATGATGGGTTCTGTTCAATAATAAACCAAAGCAGAGCAGACTGGCGCATGTTCATTTTCATCCTCTGAATCAGATGCGGCTAGCAGAAGGCTGATTTTATTTTTTAGTAGTTCAGGTACTGTAGTTTGCACAACAGAGTGTTGCTCTTTCAATGAGTTATGCAGTATTTATTTCAAGGAGTTATGCATTATTAATTTATGCATTTTATTTAATGAGCATGTCTTCTGAAATGGTGGCCAGAGCATGAAGAGGCATAGGAATATTTAGCATTTCTAGTATGTAAATACCATGCAACAGCAGTTACAAAAGTGCTATGCAAGTGCCTGTTCCCACTTTCAAGTGACCTTATAAATTAAGAAGCAGGCAGCAGTATCTCCTATAAATGTAAGCAACCTTGTTGTCTTAGAGACTGGCTGAACAAGAAGTAGGAGTGAGTGAACTTGTAGGCTGTAAAGGTTTGTGTTGTTTTGTTTTAGAATGCAATTTTGTAACAAAAAAGTCTACATTTGTAAGTTACACTTTCAAAATAAAGGGAATGCACTATCATGCTTGCATGAGGTGAAATGAAAAATACAATATGGTTTTTTCTTTATCATTTTTACAGTGCAAACATTTGTAATAAAAATAATATAAAGTGAGCACTGTACACTTTGTATTATACTTTGTAAAAGAAGTCATTATATGAAAATGTAGAAAAGCATCCAAAATATTTAATACATTTTAATTGGTATTCCATTGTTTAATAGTTTGATTAATTGCAATTCATTTTAAAAATTAATTGTGAGTTAACTGTGATTAATCAACAGCCCTAATAAAATGTTATTCAAATTAACTTTTTTTGTTTTGCATGAGTAACAATTCTATCTCGTTTCGGTCCTTGCCATTTAATTTAAAAATATCAGCCACTATAGGGAGAGTTGAAAAAATGCAAATTATTGCTCCCTGAAGACAGCAGAATACTTTGACTAACAAAATATTTTTCATTAACGTAAGAGCTATTCTTCTTTAATTAATTAGTTAATATTCAGTTTTAACTTGTGAATTGTAAACAGAATAACTAATATATTTCTCCCAAACTAATTCTTATCAAAAATCAATTATTTGTAGTGAAATGTCAAACATCACGTTGAAAGTACAGGAAGAGTTGGAATAAAAATTGCACACATTTTAAAAGTACATGGTGGGTATTTGCTGGGAGTGAAAGAATGTCCCTTAACTGAAGCACAGAATTGAGAGCCACGATGTCTGGCTTTTCTCTGTGATTCTGATACCAAAAATCTGTATGACTACCAACAAATCACTTATTCCCCCCGTGCTTCAGTTGAAATATTCAGAAATAAGATCCTAAAGCCATATTTTGGTGCCTGCCTCATTTTCAAAAGTGCTGAGCATGTAACTCCTATAGCCTCATTCTTTCCATAAAGCCTGATCTACACTAGGAAATTAGGTAGGTATAACTTCATTACTCAAGCATGTGAAAAATTCACACCTTAATAAACTTAGGCTATGTCTAGACTACATGCCTCTGGCGACAGAGGCATGTAGATGAGGCTACCAGGCATAGGAAAATTAAGCGGCGATTTAAATAATCGCCACTTCATTTAAATTTACATGGCTGCCGCGCTGAGCCGATCAGCTGTTTGTCGGCTCAGCGC